TTTTTTAAAACCTTTCATTGAAAAAAAGCCTTTTAGGATATACCTCCCATCCAGGTGTTCATGAATCATGTGAAAAGTAGTTTTTTATCAGTTTATCACACCCCTTTTTTGACTCCCGAGCTAAGCAGCATCTCAAGCAACACATACTCAAATCAAGTGCTCTCAAAGCACATCCCTCTATTTTGGTCTAATGCTTGTGTGTGTTCTTCCGGACATGAACAGCTCCTCTGTTTGAATTTATTATTTTTTTTATATGGATTGAGTTGGGAGCCAACTGCTGACTTGATATTCACAAGTCACAAGAATACATGCTGCTTCTTTCTCCACCATGCAATGTCTGGATTGCCCTCTCCAGATTTCTTTTCAAATAGATCTTTTCTTTCCCTCCTTCACTTCAGTGTTTCTCTCTTTTTCCCCTGATTTTTATTCATTACAACTCTCCTTTTTCGTCCCTCTCTTCTAGTCCATCCCTACTGCTCTTCTGAGACCATCTTTCTTTTTCTGGCCACAATTTTGAACCCCATCTTCCAGCGAGTGCAGCATGCCTATAAAGGTTGATGCTAATAATACTGACATCTCACTCATAGCATACCACCAATGCTACACTAGTAAATACTCTAGAGTTACTAGCGCATAATCACCCCTCTGTTTTTCCCAAACCAGAATATATAAACATGTTATCTTAAACCTTAGTAAACCTCAGGGGTATGGCTCATGACATGTACTGTAACTAAAATATAGGGATGTTAGCCATATTTACATCCTAAAGTCACTGGAAACTTACAGTTCAAGGGTGATTTAGCCCTACTTTTATTAATTTATTTCAGCATGTTTATTACAAACATTTATTCTAAGAATATGTTTAATATTGTCTCCACTATTATTCATCAGCATTATCAAACAGGTGACCAGAACATATTGGTTAAATTTTTATCTTTTTTAAGAAAAGAAAAACAGATTTTTTTATCAATGGATTTGCTCCTAAAGCATATACCCCTCAAAGCCTATTGTATGTCGTAGCTTCCCTGTGATAATCAATGTATCTATGGAATTAAGAGCCTCGGGGGAGCTTAGCATTTGACAGCTGAAGAGGTCTCAAAGGATTCGTGCTATTGGTCCAAGCCCTGACTCTGTAAATAGGGTGACCTACGATCCTGAGCCCCCGCCCCCAATCAGGAAATCTTGATGATCTGGTTCACAGGTTTAAATACGAAGGGAAAACAGAGGTGATTGAGGAAAAAGTTGTTGAACTACTCACGTATCATAAACGGCTCTTGAGTTCTCAAGCCTCTCAAGTTGAGGCTTGTGAAATGAATAGTTTACTCATATTTAATGGGAATGCTCACCTAACCACCCAAAAACCTTTAGCCTGATAAATAATGTTCCTAATGTGAGCATAAAGAGCCGCTGACTGAACTGGACTTAAATGGCCCCTGGTTCTATGTGAGCATTTACAGGGAGATCCTGAGAGGTGAAGGGAAGTTTAAAGCGCCTTGAGGCGACTGTTGTTGTGATTTGGTGCTATATAAATAAAATTGAATTGAAAGATGGCGCTACGTTGCTCCTAATTATTTCTTGCTGAGCTTTACAGATGGATTCCCTTAAGATGGTTTAGATGATACGTTCACTGAAGCTGGATTATGTAGCTTCAGAGCATAAGCAGCTATGGTATGAGGTCAAAACTCCGAGTACTCACCCAGCTGATGTCAATAAAGATTTTTGAGAGTAGAAAATATATTGTAATAAGTATTTTTACTAAGATTTTTTTTTAAAGATTCATCCATTTTAACTAAAATCTTCCCTCTGGTGTGGAAACTGAAGAATGTGACACTGGTGCCATTTTCTGCACTTTGCTGATTTCTGTGTTCTGGATGGTTTATTTTTGAATTTTTGATTTTTGAAAGGTTAAAGACATGAATTTTGAGTTTTTAACAGCTGTGGACCATTTTATAGACACTTTAGAATTAAATTAAATACAGAAAACTGCTTGTTTTAGTTATAATTGTGGTTTTTAATGTCAACTCAAAGTTTATTGAAAGTAGCAAATTATTCCTGTAGGTATTATCTTCATGTTTGAAGTGTTTGTGAGAAAATTCAGCTTTTTCTCAAGTCTTTCCTCTTTCCAGTCTTTCCACACGGTCTTTTTGTTGTTGTTCTTCGGTTCCTCATGCTCTTTCTTCCTCTCTGTCACGCACACCTACCTTTCCTCGGGGGCATGTTTATATTGGCCTGCTCACAGTCGGCCATCAGTATCCAGACCTGCCTCAGCGCTCTTAGAATTGACCATCAATCTCTATCCTCTGCGCTCTTTATGTGAGCGTGTTACTGTTTGACTCTGCAGACTTACTTTTCCTTCTTTGGAAACGCATCTTGCAGCTCCGTCCTGCCATTCATTCCTCTCTGTCCCTGCTGTCTGTGGCTTTGTCTCACACTTGGCTTTCCCTCCACCCACATAAAATTTAAGTCCCAACCCTTTAAGTAACCCTAGTTATTAATTACTCACCATTTTTCTACTGCTGATCAATATGAATCATGACTGTGAAATCATTCCAAAACTGCAATTCAAATCTTAGATTAAGGCACCTCCTTTTTGCTTAAAGAGCACATCAAATGGTTTGTCCTTCATAAATGCCTTGACTCAGTTATATGTTATAGATCGAAAGACGACCTTCACCCAACTCTGATGGCTTTTGTTTTATTGCAGTGTATTCCTGAAACATGTATTACTCTTTCAGAACTACTTATGGTCTGTGCAGGTTTGCAGCCGCTTTACTGCCGCCAAGTGGATTTTGGTTAGGCAGTATTTGGCCAATCGATGGTCATTTGTTTTCGGTCAGAAAGAAGACCGGTTCAACAGGGGTAATGTTACTGAGGCTAATAAATGCCAGATTCTGCTTGAAGAAGCCGTGAAAAACACTGGATCTTACAGAAGATGTTTCCCCTCTATAACCTGCAGGATTTGATGCAGTGAGCTGTTTCAGGGGAATATACATCAAGAAAAACAAATTCCTCTCTGAAAATATAGCATGCAAGCTATTATGCTAATGTATTGTTAACTAATATATTATTAGCACTATTAGAGTACTAATCAGGTGGAACCATATGATCTTCCGCGGCACACCTGATCATTTCTGACGGCACACCTATGTGCTGCAGCACAGTGGCTGGGAAACACTGAGTCTTTAGGGTCGGTCCAACTGCAAAATGAGAGTCTATGAAGAGCAACTGGTCAGCCTGGTGGTTGCTGGCAAAAAAGATGTTAGCATGAACTGTAACGTAAACAGGAAAGTTGTGGCTATGACTAGAAAAAATAAATAATTTAACATAGGTACACACTGACTACTGAACCCAACACAAGTGTAGACTCGCAGTTTTAGTGCTTCACTCGGAGCACATTGCCCCTGCTGTGTGTACAGCCAGCTCTGTTTGATAGCTTCTTCTTTTTTTTTTTTACCTGCAAAAGTGTACACCCAGACGGATAATGTGAATTTTTCCCCTGGTGTCTGTATACACTTGACAAAATTTTGCTGAAAACAAGTCAGATGTTTACTACCGCTGTTAGCTTTGTTTTTGTTTTTTGGCCAATCACGAGTCTGCTGCATTCATATGCTGTTTGGAAAGACATGCTATCTTGGGACGCTGATTTGCTGAAGCATTAAGCATTCTGTTTACATTCTACTGGAAGTCCAAAGCTGGAAGATGAATGATAAACATTAGAGTGTGCAGCTGAAAAGATTTTCAGCCATGCTTGAAGTTTGTAGTTAGCAAAGGATCTTCTACGTAACTGCAAAGGGACACCATGTTTTCAGTTAAGAATGGAAACAGTCATGCCAGTATAGCCGTGTTCTCTTATTATACCACAGCCCTCCTGTGTGTACAGTCTTCCGAGCTGGTCAGAGGTATCTCCCATCGCCATGTACCAGTGTAACCTGAGCGCAGTTGTGCCTGCTTCAGTGCTGAATGCTTGTGGAGTCATGCGGTTGGGGTAATAACATTTAGGGGGGAAGAGTTGGTTGGTTCGTAGTTCCACAGCATGGCCTGAGCTTCCTTTTATTTTGCTTGTTGTTTTTTTTGTTTCGTTTTGTTTGTTTTTTGTTTTTTGAAGCACTGTGTAGTGGTAGGTTGGGTGTTAATGGTGGACTGGTAAAAGCTTTGAGCTCTCCAAATCACCTCGTTAGCTGTTATTTAATGTAATGTAATTACGGGTGAGTTTGTTTGGGACACAAACTGACCCTGATGACGGCCACGGGACCAGACGAGTTTGTCAAGTAATAAAGTTTCAGTGTTGCTTGAGCTTCAACCTCTTTGGGACATAAATTTCTCATGGGTAGCAGAGAGCTCTCCAAATAAAGTTGAGGAATGCTTAACAAAGTGAAGAAAATAATCCACAGTTTGACGCCTTTCATGTTGTTACCCCGTGTGCTTTTTCGACACGTACACTTTTGATCTAGGTCACTGGATGAGGTTAAGGAGAGAACGTCATTCCTTATCAAAGGCTTTTTGTTTTTGTCTTACATTATACCAATCTCAAAGTACTGTTAGTTAACGCATTGTTTTCTGGTTGTACGCTAATTCTATAACATATCTACAGTATGAGATTATATGTGTGATTCTGGTTGAAAACCTGGAAACATTCTATATATTATTTTTCATCAAAATCATTTTACTCATGTAGTGTAAACAAGTTAAATAGCACCTTTTCTGCTTTTTTCTATATCCCCTCCAGGCTCAGCGGAAGGAGGTTTTTCTTCAAGAACGGTACAGCCACTACAGCCTGACTGACCCCTACCTGGCACTTCAGAGGGACTTCGAAGGCGGGGTCCCCGGAGGAGACAAGGAACGGCGTCCCCTAGGGTCCAGCCCCATCTCCATCTTGGAGGCCGTCATGGCACACTGCAGAAAGATGCAGGAACGCATGTCAGCCCAGCTGGCTGCTGCCGAAAGCCGTCAGAAAAGGGTAAGACATTGCGGGGGGGGGGGATTTCTGTTGGTGGAGAAGGTTGGAGTTGAAAACAAAAATAGAGAGTGCATGGCCTTGTGACCGTGAAACTAAAACTCCACCTGTACGGTTGCTAAGGAAAGATTTAATTTCTCACATGAGATCCGATCTCTTCGCTTCTGCTTTTTTAAACCAGAACTCCCAACCAGACACAACAGTGGAAGCTGAACGTCTCAGGATGTTTACTGCAGGCATTGACAATAATTACTGTAACTTAATTGGATTTTTGTTTTGTAAACAGTCCTTGTGCAGAATGCTTTGGAGAACTGAATCTACTGGAACGATTATCAGCTGCTGCATGGCGTCGGAACAAAATGGATTAAAGAGCAACTAGTGCATTTATTTATTTATGGTGTTGCTTCCTGCAGCACCGCTTATTGTATAATTAGTCAAACAAATGTTGACATTATTCATTTAGAAGAGGTTCATGAACTGCCCATTGATAAATGTCACATGATATCCAATCATTATAGGAGGGAAACACATAGAACAGTGTTTCCTGTGCTGCCAGACAGTTACAAGGTTTGTGTGTCCAAAATGCCAAATGGTTGTTAAATCTGAACGCGTGAAAGAAGCTTTGATTAAATTTGTGTTGTATCCTTTCCAAAAGTATTACTTTGGATTTGATATTAAAAAAAATTCTTGCCTTTAAATGGAAGGAGCTGTATGTGCGTCAGAATTTGTAGCTTGTTCATGGACTTTCTTTGGTTGGGAGGTGATCTACAATGTCTTGAAGCAAATGCTCTAGTATGTTAAACCATGTTTTGTCATCGGTTCTGCATTGGTCATATGACTGAAAGATATGAATAGTCACTATGTTGTTACATTGACTTAATAGTATATTTATGTCTTAAGCTGCCTCTGAGCTCACATCATTGCCTTACCAGCAATAATACTGCAGTGTTTAGCATTACTGCTTTTTAGCATTAGTCTTCAAGTGAAGCCAAGGCTGGCACAATTTTTTTTTCTTTTAAATCATCTTGTCATAAACTGAAGTTGTGCTGCTAGGAAAAAACCCAAGATAATCAGGAATCGTGCCCTGTGGACGGTGAAAGTTTGGAGAATTTAACTGCAAGCTACTGAGATATTTCATTGTGAGCTGGACCAGCAGAAAAACCAACACCACCATCATTAGAGCCGTGTAGCTGCGGTAGCAGAGACTGGTCAGTCGCATTTTCCAAAATGTCTAATTTCTGAGCTTATGTTTGTTTCAAGTTAAATTGTAGTGAATAGGTGGCTATATTCAGTCAAGTTTAATGAAATCTATTTGCATCTTCTCTTTGACCACAGATTGAGTTTATTTACACAGAATTCAAATCTCTGAGGCTGAAATCCTCCAAAGGAAGTTGTGGGAAAGAGAAAATTCGACGCTTGTCTGTGTATATTAATGTTTCTCCTGAATGCATGGGTATTGTATGAATGGGGGAAGAGTGGAGTAACAGTGTGTCTGTGTTGTGTGCAAACCTAATACCTATTTTCTGGTGTGTCAGTTCTGCTTTTGTGTACAAACTCATATACGCACATGCAGTGTGTGTATTTGAGTGTGTGTTTGTTCGAGGTCTCTTTAGGATTAGAAAGCCCTGATTAACTGGGCAGCCAGATGTCTGCTATCCCTCTGTCCCATTTTCGCTGTTTCTCTTTTTCCTCTCATATATGTGTTCAGATGTGAGGCTGGAGGACTGAGTGTGTGAACAATAAAGAAAATACTCTGTTAAAGTGTATGTCCTGTCCATGAACCCTGAAATACAGATTTAGTTTGAAGCCACACTGAACCTTTGTAAGTAACCACACACATAAATACACAGAGAGGAGGTATGGACGAAGGAAGGAGTGGAAGGAAGGGAGAGGTAGGAGTCGCTGTTTTGACAGGAAAGCTGGCTAAATAGAGTGTGTGTGTGTGTGTGTGTGTGTGTGTGTGTGTGTGTGTGTGTGTGTGTGTGTGTGTGTGTGTGTGTGTGTGTTATCCTTAATGTGCAGCCATATGTGGATTGTTGAATTATTTGGCATAAAAATATAAACGGTAACTTTTAAAAGAAATTGAATTTTCCAGATCTTAAATCAGATGTTACAGTTTAGGAGCAAAGGAAGTGAGAGAAGTAACCTGTGACATGTAGAGGTTGTCTTACTATTTCTCTGTTACTGACAAGTGTTTGTTGTCATCAGGTGAAGATTTAAAACCTCTCTTTAGGGGTTTAAGGAGGAAAAGTTTGTGAATGGAATTTCAAATTAATTAAAAAAGGATTGCAGTAAAAGTATCTGTTTGGCTGGGACTGGCTGCGACAGGAAACTCATCCAAAAAACAGATGGTTTAATGCAAAAAGAAGTCTCACAATGCCCCAGTGTCATCACATGCCCTGCAGGTAACTGTGAAACCAATATTTAGTTTGCCAAAGAAGATTCAGACAAACAATTTATGTTCTCTGGACAGGTAGACCAAAGATCGAGTTATATAGGCACAGTAACTGTAGGCATGTTCGGCGCTGATCAAAGGCAGCTTTTCAGAAGAACAGTTTCACACCAGCTGTACAGCAAACTTTTTAAAATCTTCGGATTCTCAGGTTGATTTGCCAGTCAGTGAACTATGAGAAGATACTGTGAAGCCATCTGCTGGAAAGCTCAACCAAAAAAGTAAATAAAAAAATATATATTTTATTAGAATTAGAATAATATAGAATTTCCCAGAATTTAAAGCCATTTAAAATTTTGCAAAAAAGTTAAAAGACCAATGAAGTTTGTTTGTTTGTTTTTTGGTCAAATTTCATGTCAAAAGGACTGGTGAAAAAAAGTGTTTTTATGAAAGGGCAGGAGAATAGCTTCTGGTGATATTTTGGTTAAATAAATAGAAATAATTAAAATAAATTATTTCAGTCCACTCTGGTCTTATTTTAAAGGATCACTTACTTGTCGTGGGTTTTCTGCGTCTAGTTTGGTCCCAAATAAGTAAATTGCACCGAACTTTTATGGATACTGCATCTCTTCACCATGTAAAGCTCTTTGGTTTCTTTGGTTATGCCTTTAGAAATGTTACAGAACAATAAGAAATGCGGACTGAGTGATTGAGCCGCCAGAAAGTTCACCTATCTCCTAATTAACCATGTGATTTGTACCACAATGCCAAGACTGGTATTTTGATTTGGAATGTACCATTTTTGTAGTGTTCTCTACAGTTAGGTTTGCAGAGTCTTCTGGAATTGAGTAAAACTGAAAATTATGGTTATTTTCTTAGGATTGCACAGTGCATCACATGGCAGATTTAATATTCTCACAAGACAGTTTGGCCTGAAAACAGAAAGTGCACCACTTCACCTGTGAAACCACTCTCAGTACTGCTGAGAAACATGGTTGTATGACTTTGAACTACAGCGGTTTTGCTTCTTTTTAGCCCCCCAAAACACACTTAAATATAAAAGAAGCAACAACAGACAGCAATGTACTCTCATTTGACACGGTGAATATAAATTGGTGAAATGGAGATTTGTTCCTTAAGTTTTTTGCAGTTGCTGTGGTGCTACATTATGATTTTTGGTGCAACGTACTAGAAGAGCGCATCCTCTTCTAAGGTGGAAGCTGTGTACTCTTTTTGGTGTATAATAAATCACCATATCACCACTAATTGCCCAGTTGTAGCCAAACAATCAATCAGCAAATGTGTCAGGCAGGTTTCACTGGAACTCTTAAAATGACCAGTGACACAACAACAAACCAGCACTGCTAAAAGACACAGGCTTAGCATGCTTGGAGAGATCTTCTGGTTGCTGGGTAGAGTGAATTTCACCTGGCTAGTTCGTGCTATCTTTATCCCCTCCGTCTGTTTCCACTTCTGTTGTCCTCCTGTGAGTAAGCTACTGAATTATCCATGAGGTCTTAGCCAAGCTGAAGACAATCACGCAGTTAATACATAACACACTCTGAACTTGTTCATGGGAATAATAAAGGCAATCCCCAAGTCCTGCTATCTCCTTCTCCATGAATCAGTCATGAAGTTGGAGAAAGACCCTATCCAACCCTACAACTAACACCCTACTGCCACTTTAAAGGACCACCATTAACCTGTATAAAGAGATTTTACATAACAATTTGTATCATCTGTAGGCATAGTATAAAATGTCTGGAAACTCTTTGTAGCCCACTTGCATTAAGAGTGCTGTTAGCAATAGCAGTAATTTAAAAAATCATCATAGACAATCTATAAGATAATTGAAAATCACACCTACAGTAAAACTTGGTGTGGTATGGTGCTGGTGGGGTGTGAGTCTCTGAATCTGGAATTTAAAGAAATCTAAAGCTGGGAAGTTTTCTATCTGCAAAGTATTCTGTCTGTTACACCATTGTCTACAATACGCCAAACCATTTAGAAATGAATATAATAAAAGACTGTAGCTTTTTCAAGTTGTCCTTAATCGGAGACATGGAGTCATGCATATTACAGAGTTATCTTAATCCCACAAATGGTTTTAATCTAGTCCTCCCAGTGTGTTTCGACATGTACAGCGTTCCTAAATGTTTTTCTGAGGCATTAGGCTGACTTACAGCAGACATAATCCTCACCCAATTAACAGCTAGTCGTAACACCTCCTTTTGAGTAACAACTGGCATTCCCCTGGCTCTCCTCCTGCTTATAAAGCCCTTACTTCTCCTCAACATCAGCTGGTGGTGATATCTATTCCCTGATGGTTTGGAACAGCAGGAGTGAAGGAGTTAGCTAAGGCTGGGAGGGGTCTCACTTGGGATAGGAGCTGCAGAGTGTCCGCTCTATTGTTTGGGGCTTGTTAGAGAGATGGGGTCAGTTGGGTCGAGAGCCCCAGTTAAGCCCCCCCTGTGAAGCCAACTCTGAGCTAATAATAGCAGCGATGCTCCAGATATAGAGGCCGCTGGTCTGACAAGTCATCGAAATTCAACCGTGTGTAGAGACTCTGACATAGAGACACATAAATTCAACCACCCTGTAGAGGAATAAGACCTGTCTTGTCTGTCTGTTTTAATTCAGCTACTTTGTCTGGCTGATTTGATTAATCTGGGTTAAACTATGTTCCCTGTTCTCCTTAAAAAAAAAAAAAAAAAAAAAAGGTTCAATTTTTGTTTGATTTATTAATGCATTTGCAATTGAGGTGCTGCATTGCCTCAGAATGTAAGCAGTTGGATTTTCAATTCAGGTTCAGCTATTTGAACCTGAAGTTTACTATGGTATTAAAAGACGTGTCAGATTGCTTTATAAGATCATAACAAAGACATGGTGCTGGTGAGGTGTGAGCTGGGGATTGGATATTTGACATACGTGTGACGCTTACTGAGCTTGTACAGCACATACAATCTGTGAGTTTTGTGGTATGCTTGATCGCAACTGATTTATTTTAAAGATGTCAGTGAATTGTCATTATGTCACATGCCCAGTGGTAATACTGTCACTAAAGACGTTGTAGAGGTAAATTATATCCTCTTGTATCTGCACACATGTAACCTGAATTACTTAGCGTGATTTCTTTCTTGGTTTCTTATTGTGTATATATTCAAGTTTCAGCCATAATGTCTGTGATCTGTAATACTGCTCTCAGACCTCGTGTGTCTTTTCTTTTCTTTTTCAGCTGGAGATGGAGAAACTGCAGCTCCAGAGTTTAGAGCAGGAGCACCGCAAGCTGACGGCACAGCTGAAGGATGAGCGTGAGAAGAACAAGCATATTGTCATGATGCTAGTCCGAGAGTGCAAGCAGCTTGCCACACGGGTCGTAGAGGAGTCACAGCGCTTTGATGAACTCCAGGCTCGCCTGGATGAGGAGAGTCGCACCTCTGGCCGACTCCAGGAGGAGTTGAGCTCTGAGCGCCAGCGCAGCCAACAGATGGAGGCAAAGATGGAGAAGCAGCTGTCAGAGTTTGACACGGAGCGTGAACAGCTGCGTGCAAGGCTGGGCCGTGAGGAGTCAGAAAGCCTGAGTCTGCGGCAGCAGGTGGAGCAGCTCAGGACTGAAAGGGGTGAAGGCAAGGATGGAGCTGGTCTGCCTGCTGCTAGTAGACCAGAACCTGCTGCTGCCACCAGTACGCCACCCAAACCTAAAGCTCTGACGTCTGTTTCTGTAGCTACAGAGCCCATTAGTTCTCGAACAGCGTCTTGCCAAACGGACCTGCCTCCCACAGAGGTGGAGGGTCCTAAGAAGTCCCCTCTCACTATACCTGTCAAACCAACCCCTGCCAACTATGTGGGCCTGAGCCTGCCAAAGACGACTGGCCGGGGGATCGTCCACAGCAGCTCAGGAGGACTGGCACAGACAGAAAATGGCTCAGAGGGCAATGCCCCCCACGGCTTACCCAGCGGGGTCAGTCCCCGTGTCCAGGCTGCCCGCTACAAGTTCCAGGAACAGGACCAAAATGGCACGGCATCCCAGAGTCCTCCAGCTCGTGACCTTTCTCCCACCAACCGCGATAACTTTGCTGCCAAGCAGCAAGCACGTCACACCGTCACGCAGGTCCTCTCACGCTTCACCAGCCCTCCTGCAGGAGGGACTGGACCCCTGCGTCCAGGCCTGCCCCATTCTGCCTCAGAGGGAGGCCCTTTTCCCAGCCGCCTGAGCCACCCTATTGGCCTCAAGTCTCCCACGGTGGCTAGGATCGACAGGGGAAACCCTCCTCCTATACCTCCCAAAAAGCCAGGGCTTTCCCAGACACCTTCTCCTCCTCATCCACCCATCAAGGGAGTGGGGGACAGCAGCCGCACCCCTGGGGCTGGGTTAAAACCAGCCACACCCCAGCTGCCGCCAAAACCGGCCTTGGACCTGGTCCCAGCCCTGACGGCCTCTCAGGTGGGTGCCTGCCCCCCGTGCCGTTCCCCAGGGCCTGGCCGGGGCCCTCAGCGGCATCCAACAGCAGCATGTTCAGAGTGCCCCCCAGTCATCAGCTCTGCCACCACTGTCAGTAGCCCCTCCTCCATAAACCCCCCCTCCACCTCCTCCTCCATTAGTGCTCCATCCTCCTGTAGTCCCCGTGCCTCATCAGGCAGCCCCCTGGCAACAGCATCAGGTAAAGGGGCTCCTTTTTGCTGCATCTCCCTCCAATTCTGCCCACTGCCTCTTTTCTTTACCTGTCTTTCCAAGATCCTAGCCTTGCCTAGCTTAGCACAGCATAAGGATCAGTTCACAGGAAAACTGGTATAACTGCAGAAACGACACATGGGTCAGCTCGGTTTATGTTCTTGCCACCCCAACCCTGAAAAGCCTTACAAGATCCAATGCTACTCACTGCATTTTCTCTCAACTTATCTCTCCTTCTCTGCCTTTAATGTGCCCTCCCCCTGAGCACCTTTCATCTCCCATGATGTCACATTAGACATGTCAGCATCAGTATCAGCAGCAGACATTTAGATCATGTCACTAGGATGTGTCTGACTGTTGCTCAGAAACAAGAGGTTAACAAAAGGAGAATTTCAGGGTGAACTGAGACAGGCCAGCGCCCCTCCCGATGCTCTCTTGTATTCATATTGGTTTGTTGGGCTTTCTAAAAATAACCCCCTATCCTCTCTGAAGCTGATGCCAGAGACTGCTCTCTCCTTCCCTTCCCCCTTTCCATCCTCCAGTAGCATGCAATGATTACTCCTCCACTTCCTGCACTCCTTCCTGTTTCAGCTTCCATTAACTAGTCTGACTGACTGTTTGCCATTGACAGCACTCTGTATGCAACTTGTTCGCTTTGATATAAATGTTAGCTTTTATATTCACTGTAATGTGATTTTCATGCTTTTATTGGTTGCACTGTGTGGTGTGATTAAAGTTAGATCCAGCTTATTAGAACTTTGGTATTATTTTGATGTTTAGGTTCAATATTTCTGTATTGTCTGGTTGAAACACTTAGTAATGTCTGTTTTCACAGATTTCCACCAGGGTATAGCAAAAGCTACAAAACCATGACCATGATATATATTTAATATATATCATATATATCATATATGCATTATATAGTGATCTATCTGTTCATGTAACTGTATGTTTTGGCAAGAGCAAAACGCCTTAAATGGAAAAGCACCTTATATTTAAGAATCTGTCATGCAGCTGAAAAACCTGACTATGTTTTTATGGCCATATCTTACTTTTTTTCTTCTTTTTTTGAAAATAGCATATCCAACACCTTTATTGCCAGCCTTTATGAAATTCTTGCATTCGATTGCAGCATGTCCCACTTACAAATGTGACAAAGCTTGTGGAGTAGTATGAAAGAAATCCTTCCACACTTTGACTTATTTATCACAGTTATAAGCCAAACCATAAAGTCAGCTGTCAGCATACATGTTTCTGTAGCTTTTGTTTTTATCCTACTTTTGCACCAAAACCACAAAAATTCCAACCAGAACAACTGCTGGGGCTTTCTTCGTCTTCTTGAGATTTGATGCTGCATTTTTTCTTTACTCTTTTGAATCTGTGTCTTTTTTGTCTTGACACACTTCAGCACACAAATTCTTCACTCTGACTTTCTTTAGCCTATTTTTAACCCATGCTGTTCAGAAATTGCCACAGTAAAATAAGTATGACAACTCTGAACAGGCCCAATAGGCCCATGGTTAGTAGTCATAGCGCAGTTGTTGGGGTTGGTAATTAGATGTTTTTTCTTAACTTCATCTGTTTGTCTTGTTTGCATTGGTAATTTTTTAGTCCGTGTATGTTTTCACATTATCTGACTAAATAATATGTGTGTATATATATATATTTGTCTATTGTGTTTGTGGTACTTAAAGACCTATCTATCTTCTTGCTGTGTATTAATCAGATGCGATGACAGGCTTTTCTGTCCAGACTGCAGCTTCACAAGCTGATTAAATCGCAGACGTTTTTTGCAGGCTTCAGGTTTGTCACAGCAGGGTAACAAATTCAACACAAAAAATGTGAAAAATATGTATATAGTAAAAATAAATAGTTACCTCAAGAATTCTTTCAAATCCTCTGGTAAGCTAGACTTTAAAATTCAAATAATCAAAGACACAACAGAGGGATGTATAAAATATGTTAAATTAATTGTCATCAGTGCAGGCCATTATTGGTTAGAATTTTTGCTTAAACTTTAAAGGACATTTATGGAAACTGTTTTAGGTTTTAGAGTTTAGCTTGCTTGTAACAAGAATAATGTTTTAGGTATTACAGTTGATCTCACGTTGAGAAAAGTGGGGCCGAGGAAACCACAGATTCCTGGAACAAAACCGCAGGATGTAACTTTAGTTGTTACTCACACACACACATATACACATATACACACACACACACACATATATATATATATATATA